CCGCTCTCTTGTGAAAACTAAGCTGGATATAAATAATATTCATTCTTTTTTTTTACAGCACATTGTTGGTTACTGTAATTTTCTACAGTACATAATTGCTTGTTGTGTTTTCTACAATACATGGGTAATTACTGTGATTTTCTACAGTACATAATTAGTTATTGTGTTTTCTACAATACTTTGGAAGTTACTGTGATTTTCTGCAAGACATTGCTGGTTAATGTGACACTCACAGTACTTCTTACATTACTGCCATTTTGACTGAAACTACGGTATACTACTGTGAACTAGTATACAGCAATTTCCTGTGCACAAACACAGTAAATTCCTGTAGATTTCACATGAATTTTTTAGTGTATGCTAGTAATATGCATTCTAATTAGCAGCTATTTAATAGTGAGTATTGGTCCTTAAAATAAAGTGTTACCTATATCTCATATAAAAATGTAAAATAGTAAACTTAAAATAGCTAAATTAAACTTAAATTAACCTCAAATTAAAACTATCATACTGAGAAGACAAAACTTGCATTTTTTTTGTCTTCCTTGCACTCTTGTGAACATTGTCTAACAATTATGTTTAGCTATGGGTATTTTAGAAATATGACCACTTGTACTTTATTGCTCGAACATCAATGCATAATCAGTTGAATTTAACTCTAATAAATGATTAACAAAATAATTAGAATATGAAACATTTACATTTTAGTCAAAATAATAGTTGGATAATTGAAAGGCTCTAATACAACAATGCGTATGCAATGACTTTAAACCTGAGATGTACCAGTAATGCAAAAAACTAAACAAAAAAACAAAAAACTTGCAACCTATTGTTACAAGATCATGCAGTCAAATATCTATATCTGTCTTAGTCCATGTGGCATAACAGTCCTTTGCAAAACAATGTTACACATTGTAAAACATTATAACATCACATCAGCAAAATCTTTTAAACCGAAATGAATTTAAACCTTTTAAAACTAAATGAAACAGGAAACGACCTTTAAAAAAAGAGGAAAAACTCTATCGACCACATTTCTGACACAAAACCCAGTGTTGCTTTCAGCCAAACTAAAGTAAAGGTTGAAGAAAGGTGTAGAACATGGATGTTGCTCTAACCCCATATCCTGTCATTGTAAGCATGAAACCACAGAGGCAGAGAGCAAAGACCATCAAGCACTTTGGCTGCCCACTTATCCAAATATGTGAGATATTCCTGAAACCCGAGTGAAGAAATAGCTTCTCTACACCTGATAAGTGTTAGTCTCTATACGGCTTCTTAGCTTTCACCATGAGAGCATGTGGGCCTCCCAAACTTCTGCATTGGGTCTCAAGAGCAATTACCTGTCAATATATACTGTATCATTAACTATAATTCTGAGAGCTGCTTGAAACATATATGCTTTTAAAAATAAAGGTGCTTCAAAAGGTTCTTCACAGCGATGCCATAGAAGAACCATTTTTGGTTCCACAAAGAACCATTCAGTCAAAGGTTCTTTAAAGAACCATCTCTTTTTTACCTTTTTATAATCTGAAGAACCTTCTTTCGCCACAAATAACCTTTTGTGAAACAGAAAGGTTCTTCAGATGTTAAAGGTTCTTTATGGAACCATTTAGACAAAAAGGTTCTTCTATGGCATCGTGAAGCACCTTTATTTTTAAGAGTGTATATGCTTTTAAAAATCTCAGAATGTCTTTGATTACATGCGTAAATATTTTCACTTATCAGAGCATTCCTCCCATTCATTTTCAGCCTATATTTAATGGAAAATCTGTTACAAATGTTAGAAATGAATACTGCAATAAGGTTGGTTATTTATTTAGAGAAACTAACTTATACATCTACCCTGACAAATATTCCTTAGTAAAATATCACTGAGTAAATAGCTACCATTGGTATATCCCCTAAGGCAAGTGTCTGCAAAATGAATAAATGTAAATACAAATAATATTTGCACTAATGCATAATCATAACTCACTCACTCATTGGCACTTCACTCAAGGCACACTTTTAAAGCAAAAAAAAATCTAAATTGTCCCATAATGCATTGATTGAGTGCACTCACTGTCCAAATACCATTTGAACAAATAGGGCTAATGGTTTCTTGTTAAAGCTGTGAAAATACTGAGAGGGCCCCGTGTCCCATCAGTCCACAAGTTTCCATGTTTCTACACTTCTCCATGTCTGACTGTTTCGTTTCAAAACAAGGAACACAATATTTCCACACCACAGTGAGTGATAAAGTGTTTTCCATCTTACTGTATGAGGCTTGAGTGAGGTTACACTTTGTTTTATATTAATATTTTAAATATTATTATTTATAGCCTTATTTATTTAGTCAGTCAGTCACACTTTAGTTTGGAAACCATCTCTCACCATTAACTAATTATTAACTACAACTTTCCCCTCAATAAACTCCGAATTTGCTGCGTATTGATAGTTAGTAAGGCAGTGTTTTGTGTGTCTTGCTCCCCATGTGCCTTCCTACGCCCATATTTGGTTAGTTTCCTGTTCCTGTCCCGATTAGGTTGATTTGATTCCAGGTGTTCCCCATTTTATGTCTATTGATCCCAGGTGTGTCTCGTCCGCTCCTCATCCTGTCGTGTGTATAAATAGTGTTCCCTGGGTGTGCTCCAGCGTCTGGTATTGAATGTTAATGTCTGCTGAAGTCTACTGCCTTTGCTACGTGTGTTTTCCTGGTCCCCTTGAAGTTATTAAAATCCCGTCATTGATGTACTCCAGGTCTCCTCATTCCGTGCTCCTCACTGTAGCAACCAATGACAGAATACCGGACCTAAACAAAAGTAAGCCGTGCCCCTTCCCCTCAGTTTTGTTTTTCCCACCTTTTTGAAAGTTTTTGTTTCCTGGTTTTTCTCCCCCGCGGCTAAGGAAATTGCCGCTCGCTTCTCCACCCTGGCTCGCCTCGATCTCCCCTTCTATGAGTACGCCAGGGAGTTCTGCAAGCTCGCAGTGGTGACTGCGTTAGAGGATGCTGTCCTCAATCAGCTGTTCTGGCTCGGGGCCAACTACCATCGTTCTGTGGACCTCCCAGACACCACTGGACTAACTTGGAGGGAAAGTGTCTTCCGGTGTCTCAGACAAGGATCTCCGATCAGCAAACGACATCCAGAGGGCTAGACAGAGAGAGAAAATCCAGGTACACGATAATAGTCCAGGCAGGGGCAAACAGAATCCAAACGGCAAGACGACAGGGCAGTCCAAAAACAAAGGCAGAGATATATACATGGGAAAACAGGCAAGGCAAGACTAGACTAAACTAAATGCAATTTACAAGGTTTGTTCATCACATTAACTTTGGACATGCTCCACTACTTAAAACCAGAACGTATGCCTTATATTGTTTTTCATCTTTATGGTATCACTTTAGTCCACTTTAGACATTTTACTAACTTTAAGTAACTTTGCAACTACATGTCAACTAGTAGTCATTAGAGTATTAGTAGACTGTCTTCTTAATATCTGCTAACATTTTATATTGCTGCTCCCCAACTGACAAGACATTCTGACATTCAAAACTGATATTCTACTGACAATAAGAAACTTTGCAAGTACATGTGAACTCGTTCTGCTAACCCTAACCATAACCTAACAGTGGATGACAGAGATGTTTTGGAAATAAAATTCACTGTTTGATGCGCAGAGCAGATCCTAGACTTCTGGGGGACCTACGCAAAACTGTGACGAGTTATGAATGAATGAAACACATTTGTCCACTTGAGAAACGGTGTCTCTTCCGGTACGCTTTTAACTCATTTTTTTTTTTGTCTCAAGTAAGACACTGTGTGAAATTCACCTTACATGATTTGACTGATTTTTACATAGAAAGGGCGACAGCGCACCGCATTAAAAGAAACGACATAAGTGGTTTTCATAACTGCTGGTCATATTCAAAAACAAAACTAAAATTAAATCATCTCTGAGAGCAAGGGGGCCCCCTGGCTCTGTTGGTGCCCCTGGGTGGATGAGATGATGCCCCCCCCCCAAATAATTTGTTATTATATTTTAATCAACATTTTATCTAATCATTCTATCTTAAATGTTACCCTGATTAACACACCAAACTGTATAACATCACTGGGGCCCCCAGGGGACAAGGTAATGGTGTTGCAGGACTAGAAATTAGTGTTAAAAAACTGATTAATGATTTTAAGGCTGAACATAACTAGACTTTTAAAAACAATAAAGAGAAAGCTGAGTGGTTGCATTTTAATGTGATTTGTCAATCTCTGAAAAAGCTCAATTCTATAGTTTTTGTTGCTTAAGCTAAACTGCACTACATATAGGTCTGCTTAACAAAACCAGCCCAATTGGTACTTAAACTATAGCGTTTCGTGGGAAAATCATTCCAGCGTTCCAGGGGGTTTCAGTATAAAAGCAACACTGAAAATATCACATTTAATTTCAAATGTAGCCTATAAATGTTCTTTCTTGGTATAAGCTAAACTGATATCAGAATGTCAAATAAAATCAGAATGAAGCCTTTTTTGGGGGGGGTCAAACTCGCATTTTAATGTGTGTGTGTTTTAAATAACTTGGTCAGATATGAGGGACAAAATTAATTCCCCCTTACAATATAAAGCGCTTTATCTGTGTCACAGCCACTATATAAATGTAACTATAATAATATAACGTCATTGATAGATATATTAATCTATATGTAGGCTATTATTAAGGCTAATAAAGATTTTTGGTTATTAATCCTTCTCCAACTTTTGATAACACAATGTTCAGTGTATAGCTACATGCTGATTTATCTGAACATTTCAAACTTTAGAAGGAAATGTTTTTAGAGCGGCCGCTTTGATCCTCGACACTTCATCATGACATCACCATCATCCTGTCAATGGACGCGCGCACAAAACCAGCTCCAGGATTGCTTGAACCATTTGTCATCAGTGAAGAAGAGACGAAACTGTATCAAGTTGACAGGGAGGCAGACTCATCGCTTCTTCTACCCACTGAAGCCTTGCTTTTGGATCATGGATGCGTCCCTCTTTCAGTTCTTCATAGAGGAATTCGGCGACACCAACTGTACTCTTATAGATGCTTTTCAGGACACTTTATATGAGAATTCGTCTTTCGCGTCGATGAGTGTCGACGGTGAGGATTACAGTATTTGTAGCAGTGCATATGTTTTATGCAGCGTTTATAATGCACATTAATCAACACCGGTTGTATTTTCCTCTAAGGTCTCTATTGTAACGCCACCACGGATGAAATCGGAACTTGCTGGCCAAGAAGCAACTCTGGACGAATAATTGAGCGACCGTGTCCAGAGTTCATTAACGGCGTCAAATACAACACCACTAGTAAGTGGCTCCTATTCGCTTTTTATTCATTAAATACGTCTGAGGATAAGGTTGGTGGATTCATGTGCATAACTGTTAGCCTATTTATCTGTGGGCCAGTCCTTCAGGCAGAGTTATAATATAAGAAAGTGTGTCAGTGGATTTATAGATATATGCATTGCATAGATTTAATATGGAACATTTGAAGGCTTATAAGATTTCATGGACATGTATAGCTTTTGATATTTTTCTCTCAAAAACTGTTTGTACAATTGTTCTTAAAATAAATGACATGCTGTTAATAATTTACGCAATTGTCTGCTCACAAATTCTGCTTCTGCAGACAATGTTATCTGCCCTGCCACATGTTCTTTGCCCTAATGTGTGAAATGAAGCAGGACAGTGAAGTTCTCTTAACACACACACACACACACACACACACACACACACACACACTGTGTGTCTGGTTTATCCTTGTGCATGGGGACTCTATAGGTGTAATGTTTTTTATACTGTACAAACCGTATTTTCTATCGCCCTACACCAACCCTACCCCTAAACCTACCCCTCACAGGAGACTTTCTGCATTTTTACATTCTCAAATCATTCTGTATGATGTATAAGCTTGTTTCCCCATGGGGACCTCAATTTAGTCCCCATGAGTCAGTGTGCAATCAGGTTTAAGTCCCCACCAGTATAGAAAAACATGTATACACACACACACACACACACACAC